AATATTTTAATCAATTAAATAAATAAAATATATTATTTACAATGAAATATTAGGAATTGGAGTGCTCTAATTTAGGTAGAACACTTGTGAGCATTTGGGTTGGTTCCATGACTTAGCAATTGTGAATAGTGCCGCAGTAAACATCAATGTGCAAGCACTTTTCCGATTAAGTATTCTTCTGTTCTTTGAGTAGATACTAAGGAGTGGGATTGCTGGATCGTATGGTAGTTCTATTCGTAGATTTTTGAGGAATCTCCACTTTGTTCTCCACAGTGGCTGGACCAATTTACGTTACCACCAGCAGTGTAAGAGTGTTCCCCTTTCACCACACCCCCGCCAGCACTTATCATTTTTCGTTTTTTTAATCTTAGTCATTCTGACTGGGGTTAGGTGGTATCTCATTGTCGTTTTTGATCTGCATTTCCCTTACAATGAGGGATGTTGAACATTTTTTCATATGCCTTTTAGCTATTTGTATGTCATCTTTAGAGAGTGGTTTTTTTCAACTCATTCTCTCATCTTTTAATAGGATTGATCATCTTTTTTCAGAACAGCTGCTTGATTGGAAGATTAATATAATCAAAATGGCAATTGTACCCAAATTAATCTACATATTTAATGCAATCCCAATCAAACTTTTAGAGACATTCTTCACAGATTTAGAAAAGACAATCATAGAATTTGTCTGGCGTCATAAAAGACCCCATATTGCCAAAGCAATCCTGCACAAGAAGAGTGGAATAGGAGGCATCTCACTCCCTTACCCCAAAATATATTACAAAGCTGTGATAATCAAAACAGTATAGTATTGGCACAAAAGCAAACAGGCAGACCAATGGAACAGAATAGAGACCCCAGAAATAAACCCCAAAACATTCAGCCAACTGATTTTTAACCAAGGGTACCAGTCGATCCAGTGGGAAAAGGGAAACTTCTTTAGCAAATGGTGCTGGAGAAACTGGGTATCCACCTGCAGAAAGATGAACCTGGACCCCTATTTCTCATCATTAACAAAAACTAACTCAAAATGGATCAAAGATCTAAACCTAAAATATCAAACACTAGAACTGCTGGTGGAAAACACTGAGGAAGCTCTGGGAGACATTAAGGTAGGAGAAGGCTTCTTACATAAAACCCCAAAGCATAGTCAATAATCCCAAAAATAGACAAGATGGGTTACATCAGATTAAGAAGTTTCTGCACAGCAAAAGATATAGTAATTAGTGTGAATTGACAACCCTCGGAATGGGAGATAATTTTCGAAAAGCATGCCTCAGATAGGGACTGATAATCAGAATACACAGGAAACTTAAGTGGCTTACCAGGAAAAGAAAAATGATCAACTCAATTAAAAGATGAGAAAATGAGTTAACAAACAACTCTCTAAGGAAAGCATATGAAGAGTCAAAAAGCATGTGAAAAAATGCTCCGCATCCTCATCATAAAGGAGATGCAGATTAAAACCACAATGAGGGACCCAGTAGGTGGCATGGTGGTTAAGGTACTGGACTCCCACATGGCCGACCTTCGTTCATATCCTGGACATGGCAACTTGCTTTCTCACTTTCTCTCTCTCTCTCTCTCTCTCTCTCTCTCTCTCTCTCTGTGTGTCTCTCTCTGGTCAAATTTTAAAATAATATTAATAAATAAGATAATTCTTTAAAACACACACACACACACACACACACACACAATGAGAAACCACCTAATCCCAGTCAGAATGGCTAAGATTTAAAAAAAAAAGAAAAAAAAAGATAAGTGCAAGTGGGGCTATGAAAGGGGAACTCTCCTACACTGTTGGTGGGAATGTAAATTGGTCCAGACACTGTGGAGAACAATATGGAGGTTCCTCAAAGATCTACCAATAGAACTAACATATGATCCAGCAATTCCACTCCTAGGTATCTACCCAAATATAGGAGAATGCTCAGTCAAAAAAGTGCTTGCACTTTTTTAGAGATGTTTCTTGTGGCATTATTCACAATTGCTAAGACATGAAACCAACCCAAATGTCCACAAATAGATGAATGAATTGAAAAAGTGCAGCACATATACTCTATGGAATACTACTCAGGCATAAAATAAAATCCTGACATTTATAAAAAGTGATGAATATGAAAGATTTACTGCTGAGTGAAGCAATCCAGGCTATGAAAAAGAGACATTGTATGTCTCCACTTAACATATACCAACTGTCCACACTCTTTGGTGAAAACTGAAAGATTAGAGGATATAGAAGCCTGGGAAATGGTTATGGATGCTGGAGACTGTGGGAAGAGGGTGGGAGAAGAGGAAGAGTGTGAGGATTGAAATTAAGGAAAAAATAGAGAGGCAAAACATTTATGAGACACAGAAATGGATGATTATCTGTTGATAATATGGATAGTATCCTCAACTAGACTGTTGTGAAGTGTATTCATGTTGGGTAAATTCACTTTACAAGTTGTAGTAATCTATAGCAATGGAATGTATAAAATACATAAGTAAAATCTGCTGGAATTTACATCCTTAGCAACTACTTTCAATTAGATTTTTAAATCTGATGTCAATATAAAAATGTTTAAGGGATACACTGTTTTTCAGATTCTTTTAGGGAGTATGAGCAATGCTTGAAGCCTACTAAGCTATACCTATGGTTTGATTTATTCTCATTTCTTTCTGGACTAGTTTTCTTATCTTCCTATCCACATTGCAAGTTCTCTTTGTGTAAGAATTACATCCAATTTCCTGTTTCCCCGAGAGACTCAGGAAGAGGAGTATGTAAGCAATGTGAGCAACTGTGGAGCTAAGTGCTACAGGGGTTGACTTAAGCAATCTTTGTACATTGGTGGTATTGTTGCTCAAACTCATGGATTTCATAGGCATTGCCAATATTGCTCAGCTCTCTTCCTTAGTCAAGAAGATTACCCCATCCCCCATATAATTTCTTCCCACTGCCCACCAGTTGTTAATGCATGGAATTCTTTCACATAGTGTCACAAATCTTCAGTCCATATATTTTTTTAATGTATATATCCTCAGGAGACATAACATTGACTGAAAATCAAATTAAATTAGATTACTTCCTAAAAACAAGTTTTTATAAAACAGAGTGAAGAGAGCCAAGAAATCATTTATGTAAGGTTTACATATTGCCCCTTAAGCTAAACACAGACTAAGCAAGTATCTCTTCTTTGCTGAAATGATCTTGAGGGGCAGATTAGGTAGGACTTTATCAATTCCAGATTATCAACCACATCAAAATCCTCATTTCTGCGAAAATATCATTCTTGAATAGAGAAGGTCTTAGTGCTTAGACCTACTGAGAAAGAAAGATAATGTTGAAGGGTAACCCTGCTGGACCTCCAGTGTGCAGGCCACCCCAAAGTTAAACTAACCAGTCACAACTGGACCTTCCTTTGGGTGAGTGAATTATTAGTAAAACGCTTCCTTGAGCTAACCCTTGTAGCCTAGTGGTTAAGGGAACTAGATTGCATGTGGCCAACCATGGTTCAAATAGCAAGTGCACATGCCCTTTGAAAAATAAAATAAAATAATTTTTAAAGGACACTTTCGGAGCTGGCAGGTAAAATGGTAGTTGAGGTGCTGGACTCTCACATGGCTGACCACAGTTCAAGTCCCGGACCTGGCGGCTTGCTTTCTCACTCTTCCTTTATCTCTATCTGTCTCTCTCTGGTCAAAATTGAAGAAGAATGATAATAAATAAATAAATCTTAAAAAAAAAAAAAAAAAAAACTTTCTTTCCTGTTTCTGTTAGCTCCATACAATCAAAACCTTTTGGGCTATAAATTTCCCTTCCTCTATATACAGAAGACTTTAATGTAGTACCCAAAACATAGTAGGAAGTCAATAGATGTTGTTCAGATAAAAGTATTTTTTCAGGGGACCAGCAGTTAGCGTAATGGCTATGTCGCTGGACTCCCATGTAGCCGACCACAGTTCGAGTCCTGGAACCAGAGGCTTAAACTCACACTGAGTGCGTGTGTGTGCCCAAGATCCCAAAAGAAGAATGGAGGAGAAGGGATTGCAGCGTGGCCATCCTCCCTTGGGGTGGGGGTGTGGGGGTGGGGTGTGATTTCTCACTTTCTGTCTCTCTGTCTCTCTCTGTCTCTCTGGCGAGTGCTCACACCCTGTAGCAAAAACCTCTCCAAAAAAAAAAAAATTTCCAGGAAGCAAAGGGAGTAATTGATAATTAAGTTAGACTGTCAATCTGAAACCTGCGTTACTAAAGATTTTTATGTTTGATTCACCTTCCTCTGCAGCAAGTGAAAGGGAACTTTGCTAGATTGCAGGCCTGCATCTCAGAGCTCCGTATGCTACAGAGAGAAGGTTGTTTCAGGCCGCAAGACACTTCTCTGCGGCTGGCAGTAGAGGATGGGCTCCAGCAGTTCAAACAATACTGCAGGCATGTGACCACAGGTGCAGCTCTGACCTACACTTCCATGGAGGTAAGAGAAACTGGCCCTTAGGATTCCAAGCCATTTCCCCATTTCAGTCCATCTGTTTCATACACATTGAATGTAATTTTTAAGGCTAGATTGTTGGGTCCCTAATGATAGAAGATATATTTATCTTTTTCCTGTAACCTCCACAATCCTGAATATAGAAATAAGAACTGAGAGAAACTCTAAACATATAGGACCCAGCAGAATCAATAGCACACCTCAACTGCAGAGCTGGAAGCCATATGGCCAACCCTGGTTTCAAATCCCTGGTACAATCAACCCAAAACACGCCAGACATGTATGCATGTCCAAGATCCTGAGGAGCTAAAGTGGTGAGAGAAGGGACACATGCATTATGAGACCGTGTTGGTGTATATGTGTCTGTCTCACATATGCACACATGTGCACACACGCACACTCCCTGTCATGAATTTTAAAATAGATAAGCTTAAATAAAAAGAAAGAGAGCTCTAAAATATGGACTTAGTCATATATCATACAAGGATATTCCTGTCAACAACAGCTTACATATATGGCAGTAGTCCCATAAAATAATTATGGAGCTGAAAGATTTCTACGACACAGTGATATTGTAGACATCATAACATGGTAGTGTAACACATAACTCAGATGTTTGTGGTGATGCAGGCATAAACAAACTACCGCATTGCCAGTCTTATAAAAGTATAGTGCACACAGTTATGCTCAGTACGTAATACTTGATAATGATAATAATGTTACTGGCTCATGTATTTACTATACTTTTTATTATTATTTGAGTGTGCTCCTTCTAGTGATTTGGATAGATAAATTTAGGGCCAGTCCCATAGCATAGTAGTTAAGGGAACTGACTCTCACATGGCTGACCACAGTTCCAATCACAACCCCAGCAGCTTGAGAAACTTGCTGGGTGTGTCTGCCTGTGTGCCCAAAATCCTGACAGGATGGAGAAGTGAAGGAAAAAGGATTGTAGCATGACCATGCCCCACTGGGGGTGCTTTCTCTCTCCCTCTCTCTCTGGTGAGCACATGTACACTCTCGCAATTTTAAAAAAAAAGGAAAAATTTAAGTTTGTGGTGCAGACCTAGGCAAATGTATGTGTTTGTGTCTTGACTTTTATTTTTTATTTTTTTTTTTTTTTTGCGAGATTTTTGCTATAGAGCACATGCACTCACCGGAAAGACAGAGAGAGACAGAGAAACAGAAAGCATTCCCACGGGGAATGGCCACGCTGCAATCCCTTCTCCTCCATTCTCCTCTTGGGATTTTGGGCACGCACACACATACACCCAGCATGAGTTTTAAGCTACCAGGTCAGGGACTCAAACTGTGGTCAACTACGTAGAAGTCCAGCAACATAGCCATTTCACTAACTGCTGATCCCATGTCTTGATTTTTTAACTAAAAAAGTTGTAAAGGTTTTTTTAAAATGTAAATGGGGAAAAAGGTTATAGAATAAGTATAGAAAGAAAAGTTTTGTGCAACTGTATAATATGTTTTTTAAACCATTATTACAAGAGTCAAAAAGTTAAAAATACCTTTAATTTATAAAGTAAAAAGTTATAGTAAAGATAAGGTTAACTTATTATTTAAAAAAGAATTGTTTTTATAAATTTGGTGTACAGGGAGCTGACAGGTGACATGGTGGTTAAGAGCACTGAAGTCCCACATAGCCGACTGTGGTTCAAGTTCTAGATTTGGTAGCTTGCTTTCTTGCTTTCTCTCTCTCTTTCTCTCTCTCTCTTTCTGTCCCTATCTGGTCAAATTAAATAAATAAATAAAGTTAAATAACATAATTCTTTAAAAAATAATAATAAATTTAATGTACAGACTTTATAACGTCTATAGTAGTGTACAGTAATATTCTAGTCCTTCACATTTACTCACTATTGATTCATTCAGAGCAACTTACAGTTCTGCAAGACCTATACAGGTCTCCTAAAATTTTTCTTTTTTTCTTTTTTTTTTTTAAATATGGTGAAAAAGTGAGTATTTAGAATTAGTCAGCTTATGGGAACCAGCAGTTAACGTAATGGTTATGACGCTGGACTCCCACGTAGTTGACCGCGGTTCACGTCCCAGACCCGGTGGCTTAAAACTCACGCCGGGCGCGTGTGCATGCGTGCCCAAGATCCCGAGAGGAGAAGGGATTGCGGCGTGACCATCCCCCCAGGGGGTGATTTCTCGCTTTCTATCTGTATGTCTCTGTCTGTCTGTCTGGTGAGCGCACGCGCCCTACAGCAAAAATCTCTCCAAAGAAAAAAAAAGAATGAGCCAGCTGAACTCAGCTTAGATGATCCCAATTTTGTTGGCAACATCCAAAGCACCATGATCAGGAGCCAGTCGCACACAAGCCTTGTTCTCTCTGTCGGGCCTGATAAGGGTGTTGACTTTGACCACATCAATATGATAGAGCTTCTTCATAGCCTCTTTGACCTGATGCTTGCTGGCCTTGACATCCACACTGAACACAAGTGTGTTGTTGCCTTCTATCTTCTTCATGGCAGACTCAGTGTCAGGAAGAACTTGATAATGGCATAGTAGTCAAGCTTGTTTCTCTTGGGAGTGCTCTTCCAAGGGTATTTGGGCTGCCTCTAGAACCGCAGTCTCTGGGCCTCCAGAAGGTGGGTAATGTGTGGATCTTTTTGTGTGTGTGACTATCTTTTTGGCCTTCAAAGCCTTTGCTTTGACTTCAGCTTTGGAAATGGCAAGAGCTTCCTTCTTCACTTTCCACACTATCTTAGAGAAAAGTTCCTAAATTGTTTTTACATGTCGTATGTTTGTTATATCTTTTTAATTGTTAGATATGTTTAGAGATACAAGTACTTACCATTGCTCAGTATAGTGACATAGTGTATAGATTTGTAGTCTAGGAGCAATAGCTCTATCATCTAAGCTTGTTAAGTACACGCTGAAATTCACACAATGACAAAATTACCTAACACATTTTTTCAGAACATATTCCCGTCATTAAGAATACATGACTATATAAGTAAAAGTTGAAATAAAAAGGAAAACCTGAATATGCCTTCTTCCTCTGGATTTTTGAAACTCATGAAGCAAATGTTAAACTGCCTAAATTAGTATCTTTTTCTATTTTATTGTTTTATACATTCAGTCACTGTATATAATTATAGCATACAAAATGAATTTTCTCAGCATGAATACACTGTATATTAGTCCAGTTAAAGATATTATCATACACATTATCATAACAGATAATTTTCCATTTTTATGTCTCTTAAGTATCTTGCTTCTTTCCTTTCCCCCTTGATTTCCTCCTCTCATCCTCCCACATTTCTCACCCTCCTCTCACACTGTCTTTAATAACCACAATTGTTCTCCATACTTTTATATCTTCCAGTCTTTCAGTTTCTGCCATAGAATGCAGACACTTGGTATATATTGAGTGGAGTCATACAATGCCTCTCTTTCATAATCTGGCTTGCTTTGCTTAGTAGTAAATCTTCTATATTCATCCACTTTTTATCAAATGCCAGGATCTCACTGTTTTTTTATGGCTGAGTAGTATTCCATGTGACATACTTTTTCAATTCATTCATCTGTTTGTGGATATTTGGGTTGGTTCCATATTTTAGCAATTGTGAATAATGCCACAATAAACATGGATGTGCAAGTATGGGTAGATATCCAGGTGTGGAACTGCTAGATCATGTGGTTGTTCTATTTGTAGGTCTTTGAGGAACCTCCACATTGTTCTCTACACTGGCTATACTAATTTACATTCCCACCAACAGTGTAGGAGAGTTCCCTTTTCACTACAGCCTTGCCAGAACTTAGCAATTTTATTTTTTTAATCTTAGCCATTCTGACTGGAGTTAGGTGGTATCTCATTGTGGTTTTGATTTCCATTTTCCTTATGATAAGAGATATTGAACATTTTTATTGTGGTTTAGATTTGCATTTTCCTTACGATAAGAGATATTGAGCATTTTTTCATATGCTTTTTGGCTTTTCGTATGTCTTCCTTAAAGTTGTCTATTCAGCTCATTTTCCCATCTTTTAATTGGGTTGATTTTTTTTTTCAGGCAAGCTGCTTGTGTTCCCTATATGTTCTGGTTATTAGTCCCTTATCTAAAGCATAGTTTGCAAATACATTCTCCCATTCCAGGGCTTGCTAATTCACTCTAATTATTGTTTGTTTTATTGTGCTTAGAGTTTTGCTTTAGGATACATATGCTCTCTGGAGAGAGAGAGAGAGTGAAAGTGAGAAATCATCCCCTCCCACAGGGCTGACCATGCTACAATCCCTTCTCCTCGATCATCCTTTGAGGATGTTGTGCATGCACACATACATGCCTGGTGTGAATTTCAAGCCACCAGGTCCAAGACTCAAACCATGATCAGCCATGTGGGATCTGGCTCTCTTAACCACTAGGCTCCAGGGCTGGCCCTGGTATTTATACTTACATATTACCCTTAAGAATTTACATTTGGGGACCAGCAGATGGCGTAATGGTTATGTTGTTAGACTCCTACATAGACAACCTTGTTTCAAGTAATGTACCATACCCAGTGGCTTAAAACTCACACCAGCATATGTGCCCAAGACCCCAAGAAGAGAATCAAGGAGAAGAGACTATGGCATGGCCATCCTCCCTGGAGGGGTGTGGAGGGGTGATTTCTCACTTTCTGTCTCTGTCTCTCCAGTGAGCTCATACATCCTATAACAAAAACCTCTCTTAAAAAAAAGAAAGAAAGAAAAACATGCCAGACACATGCACATGCATCCCCAAAATCCCAAAGGGATAAATGGTGGTAAAAGGATTGTGGTATGACCATCCCCTCAGGGGGTGCTTTCTCTCTCTCTGTCTCTCTCTCTCTCTCTCTCTCTCTCTCTCTCTCTCATGTGCACGTGTGTGAGCATATGTGCCCTCTGGCCATTTTTTTTTAAAGAATTTACAATTGTCTTATTTCTTGGCATCAAATTGAGTAAATTTTGGGGGTAATAACAAATGCACAAATGTAAAAATTGCTACTAC